TCATCCGGGGCTAACCGGGAAGCCCCAAGCAGAGACTCTTTTCCCCAGACCCTTTGGGGTTTCTCTGCCAGAGGGAGGCTGAGCAGGCAGGCTGCAGAAGAGCTGCCCCGCAGCACAACCTGCTGGCATCTCTCAGCCACGGCAGCACTGCTCTGAATTCATTATCCTGCCTAGCGGCAGAGAAAGACAAGGTCCAAGGACACAAAACTACAACAAAGTCGACCCAAAATGCTGTAGAGCAGAGACCATCTTTGCCCACAACAAACAGCTATGCAGCAAGACCAAGAAGTCAAAGCAGAACCCTAACCCTGAACTCCTTAATCCTCCTAGCAGATAGGAATCACTGCAGCCCTGTGGTTTGCTGTTGTTTAGGCTGATTTCTTCTATAAAAGCACAACCTTACAAGCTCACACGTTGTGCAAGACCAAAGGATTTGCTTTTGAAACCACGGGCCAACTTCAGCCAAGTGCTACAAAGGTAATGAGTGTCATCAGACTTAGAGGCCACGGGCAGGAGACTACAAGAGTTGCCGTGGTCAGGGGAGATGCTGCAATACCAACTGCATACTGGAGAATCCACAGGGGAAAAAGGCCTTAGAAGTGCTTCAGGAGGGCAGGGCTTAGGTTTCCTCTCATGATGCCAGAAATGAGCAGCCACTGGACAAATCCAGAGAAACGAACTCCACGATACCTCTGTTTCCAGAGCTCCTGGGGTGTTTTCTGACTATGTGCACTGGCTGTTTTAAAGGTCTTGCTTCAGATTTCTGCAGATGCTCCCCTGTTCTCCGGACACCATGTGGCATACTGCACACTTGCATCAGCAGTTGAAAAGTTCTTAATTCCTATTATTCCCTAAATGTTTTAATTCTCTATTACTTACTTTGTTCTCTGCTTCCTAGACAACATCCGTCTAATACAGGCAACTAACTAAAAGGGAGGTGGCACTGAGAACAAATGTAATCTCAATGCAATTCCAGGATGTTCCTGTTTTACCCAGAGGCTGTGCAGCAGGTCGAAGCCCAGCGTGCGTCAGACAGGCTGTGCTCCACAGCAGCTGAATGTTAGTCTTGGCAGCCCCTTGGCAGATGTCTTCTAGATAACCTGGCAGGACCCCGTCTATTGTTACCCTGTGAATCCTGCGAGCAGACTTCCAAAGGTGTTGCATTTCCTTGTCTAAGGTAGGTGCTGTTAACTATTGCAACACTACATCATGAGGTGCAACAGATCTGCCACCAGCTGTAGCCTCAAAAGCAAAACAGCTGAAGCCATTCTAGAAGGCTGGCTGTAGCCCAAACAGAAACAACGGGTTGGAGGTAGAAACAACCAAGTGAATGTTCACTGCTCATGACCTCCAGCACAAAAAGAGTCAGAAGGGAAGAAATCCCAACTGCTTTGGGCTTGTGTGTCAAGCCACCACTGCAGAATAGCCCTTCAGAGGGCCGTACATGCAACCCACCTTCCCCAGTCCCACTGCTCCTTCCCAAGTGTTCATGAGTAGCTGGATGAAAAACAGAACCAGCAAAGCTGCCAAACCTTTCCAATTGGGTTTCAGTGTACAAGCCAGAAAACACACCTTGCCTTTCAGAGGTCAGACTCCAGCCCAGTATTTTTATTTTTTAATGCCTAAACTGAGATAGTACAAGACAAAACCATTAGGATGCAAAGAAAAACCTACCTGACATTTCTCCATCTGGCCCTGGACTTTGAGCTCCATTGCAATAGGACAAGGGGTGATGGTTTTAAACTAAAAGATGGTAGGTCCTGACTAGATACAAGGAGTAAATATTTCATGATGAGGATGCTGAGCCCCTGGCCCAGGCTGCCCAGAGAGGTGGTCGCTGCCCCACCCCTGGAGCCATTCCAGGTGAGGTTGAATGGGGCTCTGAGCACCCTGCTCTAGTTAAATATGTTCCTGCTCACTGCAGAGGGGTTGGATAAGATGACCTTTAAAGGTCCATTCTGTGGTTAGTTAAGATCTCTACCTTGTATGTAGAAATGCAGAGAAGCAAGACTTGCTCTGGTGCTCAGCCTTACACTAAACCCTCCATTTCTCATGAGAAAGTAATTCACAGCTGAAGTGCAGTAACTCAAGAACAAAAAAGACAGGTTGTGCCAGTATCTGAAGAGACCTGGATGTAAAGATACCAGGGCTGTGGGAACAGAAACAAGCTTCTGATGAGTACTCACCTTCCTGTAAGAACCTGTTAAGAAGCCACAAAGATTTTTATGGTGCTGGTTTCTTTTAGCCATGATGTAGTTGTAACATTCTCACTCCATCCATGAGAAACTCCGTAAGACTCATTTATAAATAGAGTTATAATTACAAGAGCTGGAATTGGGTTACATCATACTCAAATTATCCCTGAAGGGTTTTATTTGTTTTTAACAAACTAGTCTTAGAAAGTATCTGTTTTTAGAAAACTCTTTCAGAGTTTTAAGTATGCCCCCTTCCTCTCCCTTCCCTTCCCACTCCCTCCAAGAAATCCATCCAGGAATCTAATATCTTTTCAAAGAAGAGAATAAAAACCAATGCAACTTCAAACAATCCCACTCCACAGAATCTGGTGTCCAGCTTTGGATCTGTGAAGAGATCCACAGAGACCAAAAGAAACAAGGCCACAGTTCGTGCAAAGTTTCCCAAAGAAGCAATTACAAGTCTGATGGATCACAGCTTGCCTTTGTGAAAATGGCTTGGGCAACTTAAAATAACAAAATACTGCAAAGCACCAGCAGAACAGCTGCCACACTGACCTTTTGTGCAGGAAGGCATTTCCTACAGAAAGGAATCCACTTACCTAGGCAGGGATAAATAGAAGGAAGAGCACTACTGCCTGGGTTCAGCCTATCAAAATGCAAGCCTTTATCTGAGGTGCCTAAACAAGGAGAAAAAGAAGTGCACTGAACCTGAGGTAACACCAGTCTCCTAACCTGGGAGACAGCTCTTATCTCAGTGTCTGGAGGAGAGCTCCAAGTCCACATGCTCAGGCCTGTGGTTAGTGACTCACCTGCAGCTGAGGTGAAAACTGAGGTCTGTAGGTAGAGATGAGTCTCTGGACTTTTGTGCCTATAGAGCAGCATCTGCCTGACATCTCCTAACAGCTCAGAAGGGTTGTGCTGAGGCAAACAGTCCCAAGCATCTCAAGGGGGTGCAACTCCTCAGCTATGCTGGGGGATGTTCCCAGCACCTTGTTGCATAAATGCTGCACACGGATGGCTCCTGGAAAATGGCAGAGACCAGGCTTCAGTTCCCTTCTGCTGGGGAGAAACCAACTGAATTGGTTTAATTTGGTACCTTAAAATACAATAAAACTCTGTCCCTCAGACTCTTTTTTTCCCCTCCAGGAAATTCATGTGAATTTTGTGGCTTGTACTTGAAGCCTTCCAAGAAGGGAGACCCCCAAACTCACACCAGCTTTTACCCTGAGAGATGCTCTAACCCACGGGTGTGCAGATGTGGCCCATGCACAAGCACTGCAAAACGCAACCTGCCTCTGCCCACCCAGTCATCTCACTTCCAAAGCCATCTCCTTCCTTTCCTCAAAATACTCTACTTCCTGAAATTCTGTCCTCAAAATTTGTATTGGGTGAGATTCAGGAAACCACCTCCCGCCCATTTCTTTCCAACAGCCCTTTGCCTCTGTTGCTGCTTGTGCTATTTGTAGCTGTTTTCATAGAACTTTCAACTTCATGATGAACAAAAAGTCTACAAAATAACCTCTTACAGGGTAAAGACTCCCTCCAAATTCTAAACGGCCAGAGAATTTGGATAAATGACCAAGGTAAAACCAAGCAGCTCCCATTTTGAGGTTTGCTTGCCATCAGCCTCAAGGTTACACGCAAGCAGGATTAAAGAAAAGCCAACTAACTCCAAGTGAGAGACAAGCCATCCATCTGGTGAGCCTTGAGCTGACATTCTGCACTTGACATGTAGGTGTTACCCAAATCTGATACATCAATCACCGAAGAATAACTGCAAATATCAAGTGTTTTCCACTCACTCTCTCAGCTGCAGATCTTAGGTGGTGAGTTGCAACTGCACGTGCAGCAAGTTTTTCAAATGACCAGCAGCTCTGAGTCAGCCCTCAGTGCAAGCCAAACCCCAGAGCAGAGCTGGTGCTCTGTGCACTAAAGGCAGTAAGCAGTGAAGCATACCTGGCAGGCAGGCAGCACGCTGCTCTGCAAACAGAAGCAGCACCCTGGAAGATGATCAGCCTCCTCCGTGACATGTCCTTGCTTCCAGTGAGCTCTTCAAAGCCCTCATACATGGAATACTGAAGTAGAGCTAATGTGCTTGAGCCCCAAAAGTCCACTTGCCTGCTTCTGAACTGGCAGGGACATGAATGAAAACAGAAATGCAACAAGACATGCCCTTCCAGGGCCCCATTTATTAAGTGAATACAAAAATAAGATCATTTAAGTGCAGAGGCACAGTAATCTGCTCCGTGATGAAAAGATACCATGTTTGTTTACAATGCCTTGTAAACAGACCTCTTTACAAGCCATGAGGATATGGAAACATGACACATTGGATTAAAAGCTCCCTGTGGCAGCTCTGCTCCACACTTCCCACCTGATGATTTCAGAGCACTTCAGGAAAGGCGAAAGCATCCTTTGTTCTGGCTGCAGAGGAGCACGTGTGAAACAAATGGAACATGAGGAGCTTGCATTGTAAACAGTTGAAAAGCCCTACAGCATTTTCTGAGGATGATGGCTTATCCTTTGTTAGGTTTGTTTTGCAATGAAAAATAAATGGCCAAAGCTATTGTGCATTATGGAAGTTCTAAAAATGACTTTTTTTTTTTAAAGCAACCTGTTGCATGGCTGAATAAAAACTATAATTTTTTTCCTTAATACAGTACATGGCATTTCTCCTCAATTGCACTAGAAGTAAATTTGGAAGCACTTTCAGTTTGTGTTATAGGCAAACAGGAAAGAAAAACAAGTCAGGCAGGCTTTCAGTCTCCTTTTCATCTCTCTGCCCACTGCTTGATCCCTACCCTTTCACATCTCCGAGTCCACATACATCCCATTGATCAGGTAATCCACTTGTGTGTAATCCTTCTTCTTGTAGCTCTCGTAGGCCTGCGTAAGGAAAAGAACTATAACAGTTATGAAAAAAAATGTACCAACTAAAAGCACTGCAAGAAGCGAACTTTTATCCACCAAGTACTGAGTGAGGGGCTCGGCAGCAATTAGCAGATACCCACTGTCTGTGTCCTGAGTTTCTGCAATGCCTGAAGCTGTCGTTTTGGGGGCATCTGTTGGAGCTGTGGTTGTTGGAAAAACGTGAGATGTTGACTTTATTGCATGCCCAGTTGTTGTTTCTGCTGTAGGGGCAGTAGTCAAAACCGTGGCACCTCTTGTAGAGCCCAGGGGAGAAGCTGATCTGCTCATGGGTGTTGTGGCTGTAGTTGGTTCTGGCTGTAGATATCGCAGCGTGGTGACAGGCAGTGGATCTGCAGAGTGTGAACTCCCCAGAGGGGCGAGTGCCGTGGTAGGAGTGGAAGCTGTAGATACCCCTGCACCCTGCAGGAGGAGGGTGCTCAGTGCTGTGTCCAGTGTCCCCGGGACAGCGCCAGCGGTGGGGGTGCTGCCAGAGCTGGGGGCACTGGTGCCCGCTGGTGCAAAGTGCTGCGTTGGAGGCACTGGAGTCCCCGCCTCAGGAGTGGCAGGGAGGGGGGCAGAAGTATGAGGGGGGGACAACACCGAGACAGAGCTGCTACTTCCTGGCTTTTCAGTGGTGGTCACAAACTTGGTGACACGGCTGGAAGTAGAAGCAGAGGTGTTACCAGACACGGGAGAAGAGGTGGCGGGTGGCCTGGCTCCAGCAGGGAGAGCAGGAGCTCCCGGGGTGCTGGGGGCCCTGGCGGCAGTGGGGTGAGCTGTGGGGAGGAGCGCCGCGCTGGCTGCGGCTCTTGTCGCGGCTGTGGCAGTGGGGGTGGTCGCTGTGGTGGGGGCAGCTCTGTCTGCAGTCACTTCACTCGTGTTTGTTGTGACATCTTTATCCTCAGTCTCAAGCAAATGCCTCAGGTGAATCTTGTGAGTCCAAGCAGTCGAGGAGAACAGGTTTTCCACGTTGTGTTGGTCAACCCGTGCATTCACCATCCTCTCCTTTTTCTGTGGATAGTGCCAGTGGTGGAACAGGACTGTTTCCCCTTTCCTATGGACCATTTCTTCAAAAAGACAAAACCAATGAATTTCACAAGAATGAAACACCCAAGCTCAGCTCTGACCTCGCACCCCCAACGTGCAAACCAGAACATGCATTCTGCAGTGCGTGTTGTACACCTGGAGTCAGTCAGTCCTGAACTCAGCAAGGACATGAAAACTCAGCCCCCTGCCTCTGCTGCACATAGTGCCTTCAGGGCTTGGTTGGTGTTTGGTTTTTTTTTTTTTTTGACAGACCTCTGGCATTTGCCCAATCAGGGAATTAATTCCACAGAAGGAGGGTAATGAAGTACAGAGCTACAGTGCAGAAGCACATTATCAATGGAAGGAGCATTAAGAATGCCAGCTCCTGAGAAGGAGGCTCATGCTTTCAAAGTTACACAGTATGGACAAAGCCTTTGTGCTGAGATTCCTAATTTTCACCTCTAAAAACTGAGTGGAAATTGCCACTTACACAATTCATACCTTGGGAGAATTTCCTTCAAGTGATCTAGATTTATAGTGACATAAATCCCACCTGCTTATCAAAGGTCTGATTGCTGCGTTGCAGAGAAACCTTTGCCAACCCAAAAGAACCATGAACAAACTGTTTTTAGAAGATTGATTCCCCAATTACCAACAAGCTCTGCTTTGTTATCATGTCACTTAATTAAAATTGAAGACCCTGGCACTGGAAAGTCACCATGAGCAATTGCTGCTAAGGCTGCTCTGATTATAGAAGCAGCCTGCTGCCTCTGGCACAAAATCCTTGCAATCTCAGTAAAAACAATGCCAAGACATTTTCCTTTCTCTTAAAAATACAAATACATCTCTCATGCCTTTATTTTCCAAAGGACAGTGTGTGGAGTGCAAGTGGCTTGAATGAATGTCTTCAACATGGAGACAAACTGTTACTGAGCACATCAGAGCAGTTACTCAAAGACACATCATGCACACGTTGGGTACAAGTGCCAGAATCCTCACCAACCCAGTGAAACAGTTTTTCCAGTGAACCCACTTTACCAACAGAGTGATCCTGCAGGCATTTCACAGTGCTGAAAAGCCAGTCAAGGTCTAATGGTAGGCATTTAGAGCAAAAGGACCAGGATCCTGGATTTCGCAGGAGCCTGAAGCATGGCATTACCTCCAAGCAGACCTTTGATGTCTTGTTCTCTGGCATTCTGGCATACACTCAGCTGGTGACACTGCAAGAGGATGCAACGATTCTGGTAGGGCACAGACCAATTACAGTGATGGTTACCTGAAAACAGCAGAGAAAATGGGTCACTACACACAGGATAGTGAGCACACTGCTTCGTGGCTGTAATTGAAGAATTAACACCCCCCCGCAAAAAAAAAATTCATCCTTATGATCTTCATGAACATTCATCCTTAATGAGGATCCTTTTTGCTCACTTCCAATTAGGAGACAGGAGGGGAAAAAACAAAAAAAAAAAGGAAGGACAACAAAAGCTCTTCAGAGCCCTTCTGAAAGGAAACCATTCAGGCAGACACCAAGGTCTTGCCCTGCCAGACTGGTTGATTTCATTTTTAAAGACTGGTGTTACTGGAAAGAGATCACAGATGCCCAAAGACAAGCAGAAGCCAGATATGCAGTAATGTGGAAGCAGGGAGCAGGACTATTTGCTTTTGCAGCCAGGCAATATAAAATCATAGAATGCTTTGGGTTGGAAGGGGCTTTACAGATCATCTAGCTCCAACCCTCCTGCCATGGGCAGGGACACATCCCACCAGACCATGTTACTCAATGCCCCATCCAACCTGGCCCTGAACACCTCCAGTGATGGGGCATCCATTATTTTCCCTCTGATTTCCCCAGAGCATGCAAGATGGCCCAGAGGAATGGCCAAGTGGCTCTGTTCTCAAAGCCAAACTGTTCAGATGGTCAAGATGCTCCACTCCAGCCCTGGACTGGCCACCACAGAAGAAAGGTGGAGGAACTCTGAATATGGCCGGGGATGCAAAGGGAAGAATATGATCTTAACTCCCAGCACGGGTTCACCATTCTCACCAGGCATCTGGGAATCCTGGATTGCCAAATCTTTGCTAAGATGGGCACATTCTCCACTATGTCTATCACTTACCCTGCCAGAGTCTGGAGACCCGAACACGGTGGAGGTGAGAGCTACAACCCATGCTGTCAACCCTAGGCAGCTTTGCTGCTTTTATTAGCAAGTAACTGAAGTGTCAAACTGTCTCTACATTGATACAATCACTTTGTGATGCATTAGTCTGCTAACCATACACCCCAGCCAGTGTGGGCTTTCGAAGGCGACGCTGGAACAGCTCCACCAGCACCCACTCCCTTTTCTGCAGGGCACAGCTCAGGTATGAACACACTGACAAAAGTGGTTCTGCTTGTGACAGTTGCTCTATTTCTCAAAGTTACTGATGTTATGTCAGCAAGGGTACAAACTAAATCTACAGAAGTGAGCCTAACCAGCTAGGAATGTTAGTTTTACACTTCTCCAAGCAACGTAGCCATGAAGACACCTCCCCATGCAACCTTGGCCTGAAACTTAATGATGTAATACCCATAATAACAACCCCTCTTCCCTTGCTGACAGTTACATAGGTGTAACTTTCTGACATCTAAGCCTCAGGACTCATGCTATGATGAAAGAAAGCACAAATATAATATGCTTGGAGAAGGTAAGAATGCAAAATGAGAGCACTAAAGCTGATCTTAAAAACTAGAGCTAATAATAAAAAATGACATTTCAAGTCCTTCTCTCCAGATGATCTCTCTGCACATGACTACAGATTTACATCAAGAGTTTGTATTTTTCCACTTCCCTTGACACCAGGTAGTACAACAGACTGGCCACCAAGTAACAAATAGGACTTAAATTGCTTCAGGCAGTTTAAAAAAGAACATAAACCAAGAAAATGTTTATGCTTCTGGGTTTAGTTTTGAGTGGTTTCCTGAAGATGTTGCAGGCCACCTAATTTTAGAGGCTCAACCCTCTCTGCCCTCTCAACTGGATTTGCTCTGTACAAAACTTGTCAGGAGAGAACAAAGTGAAGGGTATAAAAAACGTGGTTGAAGTCAGCAACAGGGCAAAGCACACACTCAGATCATCTCCCAGCCCTGGTGAGACACCAGCTACATTCCTTCTGTCCCTCTCTGGAAGGAGAAGCTGACAGCCTCTTCTACCCTTACCAAGCAGTGAGGAAGTTCAGATGACACGTGCAGTGTTTAAAGGTACTGAGGTGGAACAGACAAATACTGCAGTGCTACAGAGCCCGGGTGTAGGCACAGTCAGTGTGCACGTGTCAGCTCCAGGGTGTAACACCTTAAAAAGCAGAAGCTGAAGTTTTCATACCTCTGGTGCCTGGCACAAAAACTCACACAGATTTTACCTCCTAAATAAAATGCTTAGTTTATAAAGGTTCTTTCTTTCCACCACAAAAGGACATCTTGTGTTTAAAATAAAGGTCTGAAACCACGGGCATCTTTATGATGGTCCTACCCACCCGACTGTCAGACACTGAACCTGAGCCAAGGTCTCATCTTCACCACAGCACCACCAGTTGCCTGTAGGTGCTGCAAGCCTTTCCATGTGGCTAGACGTGATAGGGTCTTTCACAAAGGCAACTCTGAAATTCAGACTCATTCAGAATCACAGAACCATAGAACGTTAGGGGCTGGAAGGGACCTCCAGAGATCATTGAGTCCAACCCCCCTGGCAGAGCAGGATCACCGAGGGCAGGGGCACAGGAACCCACCCAGGTGGGTTTTGAGTCTCCAGAGGAGGAGACTCCACAGTCTCTCTGGGCAGCCTGTTCCAGGGCCCCATCAGCCTCACCATTAGAGAAGCTGCTCCTCATGTTGAAGTGGAACTTCCTATGTCCTAGCTTATTCCTTGTCCTATTATTGGGCACCACCAAAAAGAGCCTGTCCCCTTCCTCTTGATACTCACTCCTCAGATATTTATAGACATTAATAAGATCCCCTCTCAGCCTTCTCAAGGCTAAACAGTCCCAGTTCTCTCAGTCTTTCTTCACAGGAGAGATATTCAAGTCCCTTAATCATCCTTGTAGCTCTGCACTGGACCCTCTCCAGCACATCCCTGTCTTTCTTGAATTGGGGAGCTCAAAACTGGATACAGTTTTTGAAGTTTAATGCTTTTTAAATACATCTCAGAGGTAGACAGCAGAAGGCTCTCACCTTTCCATCCTTGTTTAACCCTGTGCTTGGTTGCAGGATACAACTGGTTTCTTCTAAGGCAGAAACCACACACATCAATAGCAGTGAGCAAAGACTACTCGTTCCACAGTGCAGCTGCCTACAGCAGCACTGCTCACATGCACAGACCTGGCAGCATGGAATAATCATTCAAGTCAAGTGACCTAGCAGCATTTGCAGGCTACCAGTGCACACCAGGGCACGTGCACGCTGTTTCCTACAGAAGCCAGAAGGGCCCTGGGAAATGGTTGTTCTGGATTCAATTTAACCAAAGCTTTCAGAAGTTACTCAGCACCACAAGAGTGCCCAGAGGAGCTGTAACAGTACATGCCTGTCAACAACTGGAATTAATAAAGGCAGTTATCAGCAGAGCAGAGGAGACCTTTAAGGAACAGAAAACCCAGCTGAAGTTCCAGCTAAGGGACAAGAACCTCACCTGAGGCACCTGGGCTGTGACAAGTCTCCCTGCACTGCTTTTCAGTTGTAAGTCTGTTTATTTGCACTACATGGACTCCTCTCCCTTTCAGCACAGAAAATCTGTGTTCACACAGGCAGAAAGAAATCAGTGGGAAGAATACAATGGCAGTCCACATCTTCAGGATGGCCTTGCAGGGAGGATTCTCTTCGCAGGAAGAATTCTTTCTTAGATCACTTTCAGATCCACTGCAGTATGCCTATTAAAAAAAACCAAACACACACAAATTTAATTATATTAAGGGAGCATTCCACTAAACACAATGCTATTGGAAATAGGGGGGAAATGTACAAGTGGCAGGTGAGCATCATTACACACAACACAGGCAATGACACAGAGGCAGGAAGAGAAAAGACCATTCCCATATTCACAGAGAGGCTCTTTCTCTGGGAAAGGTACTTTGCTCTTCTTCCCTCAAGTCTCAAGAGAGAAGAGCTCACATCATAGAATCATTAAGTTCAGGAAAGACCTCCAAGATCATCAAGTCAAATCATCAGTCCAACACTGCCAGGACCACTAAACCATGTCCCCAGGTGCCACAGCCACATGTTTTTTGAAGCCCTCCAGGGCTGGGGACTCCAGCACCTCCCTGGGCAGCCTGGGCCAATGTCTCACCACTCTGCCAGGGGAGAAATTCTTCCTCAGATCCAGCCAAAACCTCCCCTGGTGTAACCCAACCCCATTTGCTCTCACCCTATTGCTAGTTACTTGTTCACTCAAAAGCTGTGTGTACAGCAAACCAGACTCAGGGCCCACAGGCATATGGCAGCACAGATGTGATGCCTTCTGACTCCCTGTAGGACCCTTAATGTGGTTTCCAGGCTCAAGACAAGAGTCTCCACCAATTTCAGCACACTGATACTAAGGGGAATGATATTCCTGGCCCTGCCTTTACACCAAGTCAGTCAAAACCAAGCGTCAACCTTAGTCAATTCCTGCTTTGATCTTCCTGCTTATTGGAAAAAGCTACAAGAAACTCCAATTGAAAACAAGGAAAAGCCAGTATTTCAGGTCTTCCAGGACATCACAGAGACACAAACTGTTACTGAAGCAGATTCACACCCACAGTAAGCCTTCATTTCCCTATATAGAACAATAAACAGGCAATATCTTTCCTTCATGACCAATGCACATGAGATGCTGCCCCAAGGAATGTGCTCTCACCCTTGAAGTCACTGCAGCAGCTCCCATGGACTGCAGAGCAGATCATCAGCTTTTCTCTTCCTCCAAGAAAATGCAAGATAACATTTGTTAGCTTTTGACTCCCAGATTGCAACATTTTGATGCTTCTACCATGAAAGTTTTGTTTCCAGATTTTTCTCCTTACTCCTAAAGCCTTGAACAGAGTAACAGAGTTTTGCCCTCAAAGCCACTTTGCCTGAAAAAGGCTGACATAAACAGCTTCCTCGGGCTTGACAGAGGATACACAACATACAGGTGCACACGGGACTATCAGAGAGTCAAAAATGGGGACAAAACTTGATCCTAAAATGCAGTGCCTCAAATTCAAGATCCTTAGTCACCCTACGAGTTCCCTGAAGACCTCAAAGCCTCCTTCCTGCCCTTTTATTTATTCTAGTAAAAACAATTATTTTGCCTGTTGAAAACAGATGGAGCATTTCTACATCTTCTGCTCTCCTAGAGAGCAGGGGAGCATGCAAGGCCCAGGCTGTAGGGTACGTGCCCTGCCGACCCGAGCTCGTGCCCTCCTCTGGGCTTTCTCCCTGCAGTAAGCATCATGCTCCCTCTGCGCCAGCAGGTTTCTCACTGCAGCCAGAAGCTCATGCCTGGGTCATCCCACCTGGCAGCTGGAAATGTTTCAAAGCCTGGCCTGGCAGCAGAAGCCTGGGTGGGGAAAGGCAGCTCACCAGCCCCATCTAGTCCTGCGCACCAGAGGCTGCGCCGGGCGTCCGGCCAGCACCAGCTTCAGCACCAGCTTCAGCACCAGCTTCAGCACCAGCTTCAGCACCAGCTTCCTGGGGCCTCACTCCCATCTGCAGCCCCAGCACAGACCCCTCTGGCTCTTCCAAGTGCACCTCAGTGGGAGCTGCAAGAACCTGTGCAGGAGAGGAGATGACCTGTGCCACAGAGAAGAGCAGCCCTCGCAACACGGGCACTGCCTGCTGAGACCAGCCCCAGGCAGGGAGCTGGTAACAAGAACTCCCCCAGCCAAGGCAGCCTCCAGACCTCCCCCACTGCTCAGAATTACACGGCACCCCCAGGAGTCAGCCTGAGCCTTTCACATCCTCCTGCTGTCACTCGTGGCATATGCTGTAGTCTAATCTTTGAAAACTCCACCTGACAAGACTGGGAGCAAGGGGGAAAGCAAGGGAAGACGTGAAATACTCTGCACCAGAGACTGTCATAGAACAGACGTAGCAGGAGTTTGCTTTAAACTCTGAATCCTTCAACTCCAAGAGAGCGATTTGGGTTCCCTCACAGATGCTATAGGTACCTCATCAAGACACCCAGAGCAGCACTTGTCAACCTGTACTCCCACCATGTCACGCAGAACTAAGTGCACTTTTTGTAACATTCACACATCACAGGCAGAGCTTCAGCAAGCAGAAAAAAAAATACATCATCAAGAGTAAATTTTAAAGTGAGTCCAGCTTATATCTGCTGTCCTTTTTCAAGGTAAAAGACTTATGAGAAGCAATATAGCCTAAGAAGTGCCCCTGAGAATTAATATTTGCTGTATAATAATGCATTTGCTTTTTCAAAGAAAATCAAAGAATAACAGCAATGAATACAAACACAGAGCACTCTCTTACGTGTTTTTTTATTTCCCCTTGCCATTACTAATACATTTGTAGTTATACTCAAACATCTTCCATTGCATTTTGGAATGCAGATATAACATTATCTCTATGCATAAATGCTACATATTATTATTATAGTTAAAATCTGAGTCTTTTAGGACAAATAAGATAATTTTAATTAATCTCAGCTGACCCAAGAACTACATCTACTTACAAGACCAAATGCTGATCCCACGGAGTGTCTAGAAGCTGCTGCATTAACACATCTGTCTGGCCCCTGTGCAGAGAACAGTTTGGTGTCTCCAAGCACCCTGACCCAGCAGAAGCCCTGCCCATCACAGCTGACTCTGACCCCACTCGACTGCAGCTCCACAGGAAAGCAGAACCCCAGTGAATGCCTCTCACCTCCTCCCAAGCACCAGGCAGCCTTTCTGGATTAGGGCAGCACTGGCTAAGGGAACCACCCCAAGCTCAAACACCAGATGTCTATCTTCCTTTCCCTCTCACTACACAACCTCCTCAGAGGCCAACTGATAATCCTTCCCTCAAGGTGCTCAACACAAACTTGAGAGCTTAAAAGACTATTGAATGTTCTTTAGGCAATAATAAAAGGCCTTTATGAATTGCAGGGCGAGCATGTGAAGCAGACAAACACAACACAGACCCTAGGCCCAGCAGAGAAGCAAACAGCTCGTTTCCAAGTGCAGTGAGGGAACAACCAGATGCAGTCATACCTTAGTGCAATCCAGATGATGCTTGGGATGCTGTATTAAACATCAGAACCTCCAGCCAGGGGTTGGGCTTTTTTTGGCCTCTTCCACCTTAGCATAATCCCATACATCCAGAACAAGAGTCATAATTACTTGCAGATCACTTTCCCAATTTAACAACTGCATGTTATAATTACAAGCAATAAGCTTAATTTCTGCCTTCCCATCACATTTCTAGCCAGTCCCACACAACTCCATTTGTACTCAGAGACCACAGTGAGCCCCTACTCCAAACATCTACATCCCAGAAAAGCACCAGCTGAAGTTTCTTCAGATTGTGTTGCTCCCCAGAAGAAATCATCCTCTGGCTGTTGGAGACAACACGAAGGAAGAGATGAACACTTGTGTTCCCATCAGAAGTAATTCTGAGAAATCATGGCAAAATTCACTCTTTGAGCACTACCTTCACCATCTGTAGAGCACCCCCAAGGAAATTAAAAGCCAAACCAAACCACAGAAGACAGAAACAAAATCTGGGAAAAGACTATGCTCTGAAAAGCGTAAAGTTTACTTTCACCATCTGTGGCTGTGAGTCAGCAGGGAACAAGCATGCTGGAAAACCAGAACAACTCCCAGTCAACAGGCAAGTGACCGATGGCTCTGCAGTGTACACACACCCCAGAGGGCACGGGCACTGCCTGCTGGGTTCCCAAAGCATTCCTCCCTTCTTGCTGACCTCCCCGTGCTTAAGCCAAGGAATTTGTGGAGAGAAGAAAAAAAAAAAAAAAAGAAAAAAGTATTATTTCAAACAACATCAATTGGGTCACGTTGCAAGAGCAGAGTGAAGACTTTGGAACAAAGCCCTTGCCTCCAAGCCAAGCTCAGTTGCTCCTGGTTAAGCAGCTGCAAGGTACCTGCAGTAACTATACCAAGGTAAAGGAGAGATGTAGAACTAGAAAACAAAAAGAAAAAAGGGAAAAGGGAGCATGTGTGTTAGAGATGACAGGTACAAAGCGAGCAGAAGAAATCACTTAGGGCAAGATGCTCCTTTAAGCTGTCATCGAAGAGCCAGCAGACACTGCCCCAAAATTCACACTGACAGGCGTGTATGGACTAGGCATGAAATAAGGTCAGCGAGCTGCAAAGAAATCTGTCCTGGGTATAACAACAAATCCAGGAAAAAAAAAAAAAAACAAAAACACACCATTTTTTGTAGAAAACAATGCTACTCCCTCATCTAACTGAGAAGACACAGGGCCTGGTTTCCACCTGCAGCTGCTGCTGAACACTGCAGGTGTCGTCAGCTCCCAAAGCAAGTGCTACATCTCACTCTTTGGAGAACCAGACTCAAACCAGACCTGTGCCACAGGACGACAAGCACACCTCATTTTGTGAGGCGAGGCTAGAACACAGGAGGCAGGGAACCCGTGCTGTCATCTGGAGAAGCACCTGGTTCCCCACGTCTGGCCGAGGTGCAGGCGCGGGGGGGTCCGGAGGCAGAAGGGCAGCACGAGGCACACGAGGCTGGCCCACTGCTGAGCTAACCAGATGAGTTACACCCTCCTCTGAACAGCACCTCTGGAGCCAAGCGTAGCAGATGAGGACTTCCAAAATTCTCTGTGTGAACAGAACACACACCTTAAAGC